AAATTAAATGATTTGCTTCATTTTACCGAGACTTTAAAATTTCTTCTAATAAAATGTAATTTTTAAAATTTACATCTGATTTTCTATGTTTAGGTGGTCCTTACAGCACTATTTTTTTTATAAATCTGTAGAAAGGAAGTACATATATAAATTAATTTGACACACAATTAATTGTTCTTTTTTTTACTTTGAAGATAATACAGTAATTCCCTTCAACCCAAAAATCTTTTTCATCACGCGAGCTACCGTTATCTTTTAGTAATCGTTCCTTGTTTCTGAAAATTTTCATGTCGCCGTTACAAAATACTACAAACCTCGAGGAATGGACCGAGTACGTTTTTTTTTATAATAACAATAATTTACGTTTCCACAGAAATCTGAAAAATACGGAACCTTATTCACAACTTGACACATCTGGTACTCATGTTTCGGCCAACCATTTGTGTCGGATATGCTATACCTCAGAAAACAATACATGGATAGCAAGGGTGAAAAGGTTCTATTATGGTGCACTTGGGTCTAAGAAACACCATATCTCTGTCGGTTGAAAAGTTACAGAAACGGACTAATAAATATTGTTATATTCGTTTCTGCTATGTAATAATGCGGGGTTTTATTTTATTAAATATTAAAATATAATATTTAAATTTAACAGGAGATTAATCATATACATATAGGTCTGTATCTATCTTGTCATAATCCACTGCTATGGGTTAAAAATTAAAATTTTTAGCCATTTATTACATTTAATGTCAAATTTGACAGATACCCGACGGCAACATGGTAAATTTACTTATGTCATTTTTAATCCAGATTAAAGAAGAAACTATCGGCCAAGTCAAATTTCACCTAAGTCAATAAATAAAAAAACTATGTGCACATATTTGAAGTGAAACATCTTACTAACAGATGTTAAATTAAAGGATTTGAAGAACATGTTTGAAAAAGTGCAGTTTAAAATATTGAAAAAGTAATAAATTAAAAATTAATAAATAGTTTGGATTCACTTTCACAAAATTTGTATTAAAATGACCGTCTGTCAGTCTGCCCGTCTGTCTGTCTCTTCTTTTGTCCGTCTGAAGCCTCCATTCGGGTACCTCTATCCACGTGCCAAATTTGGTTCCAATCGACCCATAATTAAGAAAATCCTGATGATTTCGTCCATTTAGAGGCATCGGTTCGAAACGCCGCGCCGATGGCGTCATCCTGTAGCCCGTTCTCAGTTATGCCGAAATCGACACACATTTTTCTTCAATATGAATTACTTAGTCCCACACTGATGAAGATATAAAGGAAGCGTTGCCGTTGTATCCAACTTTGTAGGGTGGGATCGTGTGCACCGTCGCCGTCGCTCACGTAGCCTATGTCCAACAAAATTGGTCGCAATCGGACGACATCAACTTTTGACGTTTCTTACGCCAAAACTATCAGAGTGACACACGTCTTATACACGGCCAAGTTGGCCTTGGTCTAATCTACCGACATACCAAATTTCATTTAAATCGGACGACTTTTTCTAAGTCGTAGCAGCCTACGGACAAAAGGAGGAAAAATAGTAAGGACAGCTCCTTTACCACCTTTCCTCTCGCGTGTCGTGTCACAACCTTGAATTTTTATTCCCAGTGCGCGTAAAGAAGTTTTACTTCAAAAAATTTCGTATGATGCAGACTTTATCTGTGACACTGAATAGTTACATTAGTGATGTAAAGGGTAATATTACCACGGTAATATTACCGGTAATTTTGGTAATATTACGTAATCTCATACGTAATATATATAACATTGGAAATATTGATATTTTCCCCCTCTACTCTGTTGCCTTTTTTGTGGAAACAAGATGATGCTGTTTTGTTTCTTGTCTAAAAAGTTTTTTGAACACTAAACACTAATTAAAAAGCTCAGCAGTTGATGATAGCCCAGATAATTCTGATGTTCTTTCACCAAACACAGTAAGCCTTCTGCTTCGAAACGAATTTTGGCTACAAATACCAGCAACTTATGACTTGTTTAAGCCAATGTCTAAATGGATAACAATTTTTGAAGCTAACAGGCCAACAATTCATCCGTTGCTAAGTCGGTTACAGTTTTGAACTAAAAAATAATATTTAAAAAGCTGTATAAATTACCAATGTTACCGTAATATTACGTAATATTTATCGGTAATATTACCGATTTATAAGTTACCGGTAATTTTACATCATCATTATTTAGCTTATACCGGCCACTGCTGAACAAAAAACAAAAGCCTCCCATAACTCCATTAAGCCATTTTTTTCTATTTTGTGCCACTTGAATCCAGTTTCCAGCCATCCTCTTAATATCATATGTCCATCGACTAGGAGGTCGTACTCTGCTTCCATAGGCCTCGTGTCTTGGTCTCCATTCCACAAGTCTCTTTGTCCACCGTCCATCTCTCATCCTAGCCACATGTCCTGCCCAATTCCATTTAAGATGTAAGACATATATCACCGCATCTCTTTCTCCTGTTCGATGTCGTATTGTATGATTGGGTATTTTATCTCTAAGTGTAACTCTCAACATGGACCTTTCCATTTTCCATTGCATAACTTGTTTTCTATGTATGTTCTTTTTTGTCAAAGTAAGTGTTTCAGCGCCATACGCGAGGACGGGCAAGACACACTGGTTATCCCTTCTAATGCCGATCGCATGCAATTTTACATCACTAGTTACAATCATTCATTCTCATTAATATCGGAAGCCCAAGATACAGCATATAATAATTATTGATTAACAGGAATTTATTCTAACACGGCCCTGTATTTTTTATTGTCGGGTGGCACACACCCCGGACGGAAGAGGAAAAACAACAAGAGAGATCGAACCGTGGAGCATCTTTCAAACACGTGTGCTAATTTCCGTTCTAAAGTATTATATCCGTATGGTTTAAACGGGGAATCGTATATCCATGAAAGACCTTCTAGAAAGAAAAACGGCCTAATTATTTATTTAAGAGAGTGTTTAGGACCGTAAATATTTGACGGCTTCATCAAACAAACTTCTTTTTATCACTTTCCAACGATTTAATAACTAACACATTTTTTTTCTCTTTAAAAGATAGACTCCGGCATTAAGGTAAAAGGTAGAAGTTTAAATGAAAATATATTTTGAAGTGTTTGTGTCTTATACAGGGTATTACAAAAAACATGAGCCATCTCTTCAGAAGAGATTCCTCACCTAAAAATAAGATTTATTTTTCATATCAACATAGGTCCGATTCTGCTTTGTTTCGTAGCTACAGGGTGTTAAAGTCTTAATAATTTTTAGATTTATTATAATTTTCTTCCAAGTACTTTTAGTGATTCGAATGAAATTTTGAGGGTAAAAGTTACTATATGTATTACATATTTTAATGCTAAAAAAGTGTCGATAAATTCACCAGGGACGTGCATATGGGTTATCATTGAAATAATTTTCAAAAAAAATAACATGTGCGCCGTTGATTTTTTTTCTTTTGATATCAAAATTGTGTAGGCCATTTAATGCCAATTAAAAGTTATCTCTTGATATTTTGTCGATGATGAGATAAACGCAATTTTATTAATCACAATTAATAAAATTAAAATAAAAATAAAATTAATTAATTATATATTTTACCTAATTTATTATTAAATATTATTATTATTAGTTATTATTACCATTAGTCCAACCTACAGCAATTTCAAATAAAAAAATAATGACATTTAAGATACTTATAAAAAACCTAAATTTTAATAAAAAGCTTTAACATCCTGTAACTCTAAAACTATGCATTTCCATACCAATGTTTATAGTAACTTTTTTTCATATTTTTTGATGAGGAATCAATGAGTACTTATTTAAAACTTTCGTTAGTTTGCTTACACTATTTCGCTACCATGAGAAAAAAGTCAGTGGCGTACATGTTTTTTTTTAGAAAAATATTCCAGTGATAACCCATATGCACGTCCCTGGTGAATATGTGGACACTTTTTTAGCTTTAAAATATGTTGCATTTATAACTTTTACTCTCAAAATTTCATTCGAAACGCTAAAAGTCCTTGGAAGAAAATTATAATAAATCGAAAAAATATTAAGACTTCAACACCCTGTAGCTACGAAACAAAGCAGAATCGGATCTATATTGATATGAAAAATAGATCTTATTTTTACGTGAGGAATCTTCCCACGAGAGATGGTACATGTTTTTTGAAACACCCTGTATGTATAAGGTAATACAAGAAGTAGTTTTGTAAATTGATGATGTTTTACAATCTGACTAAGATATATCGCAAAATAAAAACACTAAATCACCACAATACACCAAAACACTTTTACTTTTACACTGGACGCGCGTTTCGCTAACCATGTTAGCATCATCAGCAGATGATTATAAACTTTTTAAATTTAGGTTTTTTTCAGTTTATAATCATCTGCTGATGATGCTAACATGGTTAGCGAAACGCGCGTCCAGTGTAAAAGTAAAAGTGTTTTGGTGTATTGTGGTGATTTAGTGTTTTTATTTTGCTGTGTAACACCAAAGGTTCCAACCCTCAACTGTAATAAAGATATATGCTGAAAATAGTATTATAACAGACTTACTACTTCTTTTACTTAAGTTAGTTTGTTTTACTACTAAAACATTTCAAAAAAGTTTTAGCGACAAAATGGTGAAGGAAAATTTAAAGTCGTACGTTTACTGTTTTTAGTGTTTTTGGTTTGGTTTTGTAGGTCTGTGCTGTGTCTGTGGTTAAGGATAAAAAATATAAATTAAATAAAATCAAATATAAAAAAAAGTTATGTACATTCTCTAAGGATGTATAAAATTCGTAACTGTATACTTTTAGAAACATCAGTTATGAAGAAAATTTCTTTTCGAGTTTAATCTACTTAGCAAACTAAAATACAATTAATAAAAACAAAAGTTAATGAAATTTTGTACTGACAAGTTCTTTATCGAATACTAAAAAACACAAATATAATTAGATCCCACTTATATACTACCATTGTTTAATATTTCTTACCTTTGCGTAATCTATTGGTACACTGCTCTCTGGTCCAGTGAACAAGCCCTCACTGAAAGAAAAATAATTATTAATTAACATTTTAATTGAAATATTTAATTGGATATTTGCATGAATTATTTCCATACGTTTGTATAAATTTGTCAACATTCAACAGATTTTGTGTATTAACCTGTAATATATGCCTTAACCTATTTTAGTAGTCAATTAAACACTAATTTATCACGACATTAATCTTATAATCCATAACTTAAAAAAATATCTATAAATATCACATTTTACTAGTAATATAATACATTATTTATAATCCAAAATAAACGGCGTATAGAGAATGTCATCGATGTTAATTTCTAAGCCAACTGGACGCTGTTTTTTTTTTTCAATCATACGGTATTATACGAACTTTTTATGAAGAATTCTAGTTAAACTTTTATTTCATAGATACAAAGGAATTGAAGATTATAGTACCAAAAGCAGCAATAAGCCATAGTTCTTTGCTATTTTTTATTCTTTTAGAGCATAACTTTTTTATTTTTTCAGATAAAACAACGCTATTTGGTATGTTAGCATATGACATAAATTGGGATTGATTGGCGCATTCAATTGTTTTCGATCACTACCGGTTTCAACAAAAATGACTACAACTTTTGATTTTTAAATGGCACTCTCGGTATGTTTTTACTTTATTCGATAGAAATTGACACTCTGAATCGAATGACATATTGTTTGTCAACTTTTGACATTTTTGCATATGGTTTATTTGAAATTGTAACATGCGGTTCATAACGACAATTTGACTCAAAATACTATTTTATTTTAAGTCTATGCAAAATACCAAGTGTGTGGTAAATTCGTAATAAAATGCCTTTTCAAAATATGCCAATGAGCCACCCTCGTTCCATTTGAAAAAATTGAGATATGATTATTTTTAACGATTACAATTTGGGTATCTTTTAACCGGCCAGGACAAAACACTAAAAACATTAGACGATCAAATATATCTTTCCAAGGCAAAAATAATGGAATACGTCAATCAATCCCAATTTATGTCCTATACTAACATAGCAAATCCCGTTGTTTTATCTGAAAAAATAAAAAAGTTAACGGGGGTGAGCCACTTTTGAGACGCACCCGGTATATTGTAGATCTAGGAATCTAGCCAAAAACTTAATTCGCTATAGATTATGGTCACAGGCATGTAACTCTGTAGGATATATTTCCTGTAGATCAAGCTATCACAATAATGACAAGCTCAGTCATAGCAAGTCATGTTATAACTAATACTGCTAAAAATTTAACACGCTGTAATGTAACAACAACCTACAAAAAATGTTCTAATATCTCTCTAACAATTTCGAAAACTAAAAAAATGTTAAAAGTGTTTATTAAAAGTATAATTTTGATATTTTCTTTAAATTTGATGGGTACTTTTTAATAAATATACAAATGTTCTTGGTAACTCAGAGAGTTCATTTATTTATGATGTTGATTATTTGATGTCTAGACAATAGTATTGATGTTTTGAATTTGTGTGAGTATTTTCCATGGGTTCTTTATGCCTTTTTTCAGTTCGAGAATTTTAGTCTCTCCTAATTTTTTTTCGACGAACCACGAATATTTACTTGTTCATAAATTTAATTATCATATAAGAATTAGCAAAACATTCTCAAAATCATTAGAATGTAACTTCACTTCTTAGAGGAAGTTCTGTATAGATAATTTTTGATATATTGCCGCTTTGTATAATATGTAAATTGCAATTTGGTAATTGTTATTGGACGCGCTGGATTAAACCTGAAAAACTTTTAGATGTATAAGTATAATATTAAAAATATCTCATTGAGTTTCAAAGTTTTTGTTAGGCACTGTATACACACTACAAAGAAATTCTGTTTTTGGTCTAGTGCTCTTATAACTTACATCGAAAATTACAGGAGTTAGATACGCAACGCGTGCCCGACCACTGCCGATTCTTAATCCTATGCATAATTTTCTGCTCACTGAACGTATTCAATGGTAGACATCCTCTTATTCTGTTTTTGCTCGACTGATTTCGTCGGCATACAGCACCTCGTCCAGCGTTTTAATTAAAAATAAAACATTTTTTCTTCTAGAAAAGTGAGCGGTCGCAACGCGCTTATTGCAATATTAAATTAGTTCATAATAATAATAATTAATGATGCGGATGTAGCAACAAGCAACAACTGTACGAATATTTTTATGCGTTTCGTTTGAGTCGCTTTCCTGTTTTTAATGTTTCTTGATTAATATTTATAAGCACTTATTTGTGTTTAGGGTTTATACAGGACTACTTAAATGATAAAATAATTAAATATACAGGGTGTCCCAATATTCTGTGGACATAGAACTACTACGTATTTTTGGAATGAAAATAAGTTCATTGGACACAATTTACCTCGGTACAAAGGTGCTTCGTTTGTCCGCTAGAGGGCATCAAACTTTAAAAAATAAACACATTTTTCAAATATTTTAAGAACCGTTATTCCGATTTGAATGAGATTTTGGGTCGATGTTTTGCCAAGTGCTTTAACATTTGGCGTTCACAAAAATCAAGAAAAAATACGGGAAGGATGTAAACTACCCCAACTCCTACATAAATTTTAGTAGAAATACTAACAGATTTTCGTAATATGCCAAATTCGTTAGCCCCCGTACAAAATCTTCGCTCTCAAGATATTCAGACAGTGAATTTCCTTTATCACTTCACACAAGAGTTCCAATATTTCGTGGACATAGAACAACTACTTATTTTTTGATCAAAATGAGTTAATTGCACATAATTTATCTTTATACAAATGTACTTCGTTTATCCGTTAAAGGGCATCAATCGATTTTTTTTATGCTTTTTACGACGCTTATCGTCATATATAATTTGCGATACTAACATAAAATTCCATATTCTCACCAACTAGTTTATTATGTCCACGGAATATACAGGGTGTCCCAAAAATAAGTGCAAATATTTTAAGGGGTGGCAGATCTCGATAAAAGAAACATATTTTCTCGTTATCGTTTTTCAAATAAGTCCAAAATAACGGAGTTATTTTACTTTGAAAATTTCCAAAAAAACTGATTTTTTTCTAGAATTTTGAGAACCACTGGATATTTTCTGGATTTTCTTTCTTGTAAATTTAATCTAATACCTATGTTTTCATATTATCAAGAAATTATGTTTTTTTAACTAAAAACTAACAAAATTTCCAAAAAAAAATTTTCAAAAAATTTCGAATTTTCAAAATTTTTTTTTCGCAAAAAAACCCTCATAGGCGTGTTTCTGGGGTTGAACTATACTACCAGTTAAAATATTTGCACTTTATTCTGGGACACCCTATGTATAAACTAGTAGTACATTTTGCTAAATAATAATTATTAGTTGCAATTAGATCCTAACAATCCACATATTTCATGAAAATGTCCAAAATATACAAGTGCCAAAAATATAAGGAATAGGAGCAGAATACAATACTGCGACAAAATTTGTGATTGTATTATTGAGTCATATACAATACGATCGAAAAAAAAACGCAAAGACGGCTGGGGGAATGACAATCGATAAAAATTTGGCGACGTTATTTACTTGGGCCGTATACTCTTCTTTATTTTATGGCGCTTACCGCCAGTTAGCCTTAAGAAGGATGTAATTTATTCTTATTTTGAGTAAAAATGATTTTTTAGTGGTGTATTTTAAAATCGAGAAAATATATTTTTTTGGAAATAGATTTGTGTTTCTGGAAAGGTTCTATCCTTTTTTAATTTTTCTATAATTATTGTTAATTTTTGACAAGTTTTATGCCAATTTTTGGTAAATGACATATAGAGATTGACCTCACCAAAATTATCATGGATGTCATTCCTCAGCCGTTTTTTTTGTCAGGATTTAATAGATACGAGAGCATGCCGAAACATGAAGCACTAGGGTTACAGGGGCAACCAAAAGGTTGAATTCCTAAAGTTTGGAACCATTCGGGGACACTGCAAAAGCGGTTACAAGAGTGGCCACATGGCAATGGGTGGTCAATATAGTGATGATCTATAGTAAGTTTAAAGCAATTGAAATTATTGCTGCTTCTATTGGACCAATATTAAACGTTCTCTAGTGTATATAAATAGATATACCACCTTTGATACAATCTAAGAAAGAATCAGAACAGCCTGGCAACAAAAATATTATTCAAAAAGACTTTTTATCACAATAAAACTCAGTCAAACCCTTTAATTAAACCCCAGAAAGCTTATTTAACCATCTGAACAGACAAAATAGCTCTTAACATAGTATTATAAAATAAATTAAAATTAAAGAATATTGCTTATACATTGACTTTTGTTATTTGTTAGATCATTTAGTGTTAAAGTATTTTTACACATAATAATTCATCTGCATTTTTGCCATCTTTGAGATTTTCATTTTCAGATGGTTTGTTTTGGTTTGGTTTTGAGTGAAAATTTAAATCTCTATCAAAAGTCATTTTTACTATTATATCTTATATTTTTAATAACAAAATATAATATTTGAATTCGAAAATAGTAAAAATATTTCTAGATGAAGTGATTAATGTTCAGTTTGAATAAAATGTTGGGAAAATTAAGATCTAGTAGCTTATCAAAAGTTTTTTATTAGTATCTCATATTTTCATAAATAAAGATATTTGAATTTAATTAATCAAATTTTAAATAAGTATCATGTAAACATTAGATTATAACAGAATAAACATCACCTTCTACAACTTAAGAACATTGTTGGGTGCCCGAGTAGACTAGCGGGACGTAGACGCTAGTATAGTCATCGTTGGAGATCTTCCATTTCACGATGTTTATCCCCGTGGAGCAGTTTCCAGTGATGACAGCTACAATTATGCGTACTAGGTTCTTTTTGTGCTCTAGTAGTTGTTTGTCTACTAAAGGTGCGTTTACATAGGCTGCGCTGCTCCGCGCCGCGCCGCGCCAATCATTTTTTTATCATATACTTTTGTGCGCGCTAAAAAATTTTACTTCAAAAGTACATGTTAAAGAAATCTTTGGCGTGACGCGGCG